CATCGATTCTGGTTCTACGCATTCATTTATCTCTACAAAGTTTGCTAGAAACGTAAGAATACCATCAGTGAAGTTGGGTCAGAACTTAGGAGTGAGAACCCCTGTAGGGGATACGTTGATAGTGGATTCCGTCATTAGAAATTGCACTATCACAGTGGCTGGTTACGAGTTCGAAGCAAATCTGATCATACTACCGATTGACGAGTTTGACTTCATACTGGGTATGGATTGGCTGTCCAAGAACCGAGCAAGGGTGGATTGTTACAAGAAGGAGGTTAGCCTTGAAATTGAGGGCAAGGGCACAGCATTATTCAAGGGTACCAGAAAGCTGATTCTAGGAGGCTTAATCTCTGCGATGAAGGCCTTCTCGTTGATCCAAAAAGGATGTGAAGCCTACTTGGCCCATATCAAGGAGGTGCAAGAGAAGAAGATAGAAGATGTGCCTATTGCGAGAGAATACCCCGAGGTATTCCCCGAAGATCTTCCTGGGTTACCGCCGCAACGGGAGGTGGAGTTTGATATTGAAGTGGTTCCTGGTACTGCACCAATATCCATTCCTCCATACCGCATGGCACCAGTGGAGTTGAAGGAGCTGAAGGAGCAGTTAGAAGAGCTATTGGAGAAGGGTTTCATCCTCCCTAGCGTATCACCATGGGGAGCACCAGTGTTGTTTGTGAAGAAGAAGGATGGAAGTATGAGACTGTGCATCGACTATAGGAAGTTGAACAAGGCAACCATCAAGAATCGTTATCCTCTACCAAGGATAGACGATCTCTTCGACCAGTTACAAGTAGCAAAAGTGTTCTCAAAAATTGATCTGAGGTCTGGATACCATCAATTGAGGGTATCAAATGGCTCCATACCTAAGACGGCATTCCGCACACGATATGGCCACTACGAGTTCTTGGTCATGCCGTTCGGTTTGACTAATGCACCGGCAGCTTTCATGGCTTTGATGAACCGAGTTCTTCATGAATATCTAGATAAGTTTGTCATCGTCTTCATTGATGACATTCTCATCTACTCTAAGAGCGAGAAAGATCATGAACAGCACTTAAGGGTGGTGTTACAGAAACTGAAGGAGGAAGAGTTGTATGCCAAGTTCTCTAAATGCGATTTCTGGCTAGACGAAGTCCTATTTTTGGGGCATATGATCTCTGGTTGTGGAGTTGAAGTGGATCCTAAGAAGATTGAAGCTGTGACAAACTGGATACCACCAAAGAACGTTTCCGAAGTACGGTGTTTTCTGGGTTTAGCTAGGTACTACCGGAGGTTTGTAGAAGGATTCTCTAGTATTGCGAGACCCATGACTCAATTGTTGCAGAAGGGGAAGGCATTGGTATGGGACGAGAAGTGTCAAGTTGCATTCGAGTTGCTGAAGAAGAAGTTGACGTCTGCACCAGTGTTGGCACTACCAACCAATGGTGGGGAGTATTCCATCTATAGCGATGCTTCCTATCAAGGGTTGGGTTGCATGCTGATGCAAGATAAGAAGGTGATTGCGTATGCTTCGAGGCAACTACGTCCTCACGAGGTGAACTACCCCACCCATGACTTAGAGTTGGCAGCAGTGGTCTTCGCTTTGAAGCTATGGAGGCACTATCTCTAAGGGTGAGACTTTTACCATCTTTACTGATCACAAAAGTCTCCAACACTTAACTGATCAGAAGGAGTTGAACATAATACAGAGGAGGTGGATGGAGTTGTTAAGCGATTACGATTGTACTATTAAGTACCATCCAGGAAAGGCAAATGTGGTAGCTGATGCATTGAGTAGGAAGAGAGAGAGAGTCCTTTACCCGCATTGGTCTCTTTGAGCGCCATGAACGTGGAATTGGAATTAGAAGAAGTGACGAAGCTGTTAGCAACCTTGAAGGTTCGCCCTATGTTGCAGGAACGTATCAAGGAGAAGCAGGGTGAAGATACAGAATTGGGGAAGTATAAGAAACGGGTGTTAGAAGGGAAGGACACCAAATTTGAATTGGTAGATGGTGTACTGATGTATCAAGGAAGATTATGTGTGCCGGATGTTGACAAGCTAAGAAAAGACATTCTAGACGAGGCCCACTCTGCACCTTATGCGATGCACCCTGGTGCCACAAAAATGTATCGTACCCTCAAGGAGCATTTTTGGTGGCCAGGATTGAAGAAGGATGTAGCAGCACATGTTTATCAGTTCTTGGAGTGTCAAATGATTAAGGCTGAGCATCAAGCCCCAATCATTGAACATCTACCACTGGAGATCCCACAATGGACTTGGGAGAAGATTACTATGGATTTTGTGTATGGCTTGCCGAGGACCCCGAAGGGAAATGACGGAGTATGGGTAATTGTAGACCGATTCTCAAAGGTGGCTCATTTTATACCAATCAAGTTCAAGCCAGGGCTGGAAGAACTGGCTAGATTGTATGTGAGAGAGATAGTGAGGCTACATGGAGTTCCGCTTAGCATCGTGTCTGATCGCGATCCTAGCTTGGGACGAGCATTTGCCCCTAATGGAGGGAGCTTGGGACGAGCATTTGCCCCTAATGGAGTTTGCTTACAATAACCAGTATCACAGCTCGATACAAGCAGCTCCATATGAGGTATTGTATGGGAGAAAATGTCGCACCCCACTATACTGGGATGAAGAAGGAGTGCGGCAGCTAGAAGGTCCGGATATGGTACAGAAGGCAGTGGAAAAGGTGGAGGCAATTCGTCAAAACTTGAAGGTGGCCCAAGACCGGCAGAAAAGTAATGCTCAGAGACCAGGATACCCACGTAGTCATGAAGTGGGTGATATGGTATTTCTGAGGGTTTCTCCTTGGAAGGGAGTAATGAGATTCGACAAGAAGGGAAAGCTTAGTCCGAGGTATATCGGGCCATACGAGGTGTTGGAGCGTTCGACTAGCTTTACCTCCTAGCCTATCTAGGATTCACGATGTCTTCCATATAAGCATGCTGAGGGCGTATCGATTTAACCCTGAACATGTGATCAGGCATGAGGACAACCAGTTGGAAGACGATTTGACTTACGAGGAAACCCCAGTCAAGATCGTGGATAAACAGGAAAAGAAATTGAGATAAAAGAAGATTGTAATGGTAAAGGTGATATGGAGGAACCAGGGCAACGAGGATGCTACTTGGGAGACAGAAACGAGCATGCGAGAGAAGTACCCGAAATTGTTTAACGATGCTTAGATCGGTGGTTGATCGGTCCCAATGTATTTTAGCATTCAGCTCTCAATATGCACTATTTAATAATAGTCCCGGTGATTAAGTTGTGTTCCGCCAAGTACAACAACGCAGTTCACCCAAAATTTCGAGGTCGAAATTCATTTAAGGGGGAGGAAAATGTTACATCCCAGTCAAACTAATCCCAGTCGAATACAAGTGTTTGTACCTCAATACCTATCCAACAATTCTAATTTCGGGGACGAAATTTTTATAAGAGTGGAGGAAATGTAACACCCCGACATTTGAGTTCGAGTTCGACCATAGTAAGTGAATGATTGAATAAACGTTTACGTAGAAATGGTTACAATTGAGAATTAGGAATAATATCAATAACTTATTGTTATTATTATTAAAACAAATCAAAAACCCACCCCACCCTATCTGCTACACCCCCACCCCACCCCACTTCTCCATCTCTCTCTCTCTCTCTCTCTCTCGTGAACCCACCCCAACAATTATATTTCCCTCACCCCACTTGTTTCCCATTATAGAAAAAAACCTCCAACAGGTGAGTGTGGATTTCATTAATTGGGATCATGGTAGGTGATGAAAGAATGGGGTTCACGTGAACTGGAATGAGAGGAGTCATTGCCCATTAGTTTTGCCATTAAATTGAAAAAATGGAAGCCCGAGCAGTAGTTGTACAGGGGAAGCAGCTCCATTTGTTCTCTCTCAGCAAATAAACAAGAAACCCAATTGCCTTCCTTCCATTCCTTCTCCCTGTCGACTCCTCCAAGCGCCATCACCCCATCTCCCCACCGTCAAACACATCGCCACCACCAGCCGACAAACACCATCATCATCACTTCCGAGGCTACATCACCAACTTACCTCGATCAGAAGCAGGGCGTGGGATCTCAAATCACCGGTGGCCAACGAAATCAGCAACTCGCCTCGGTTCGCGTCGAGCGTACACCGCCTCCCGCCTCCGCACGTAACTCTGCTCGTCGATCAGTTCTCCACCCGTCTCTCATCTAAAACACAGCCTAGAAGTATCGGCGACCTCCAAAGACCAACCCGGCGTCATTGACTTTGTTGACTTTGACAAAACTTCAAAAGTTTGTTACCGTTGCGAAGAGGACGATCCAAGGATCATCACCGTTTCGACAAAATCGAATTTCGACGTCGGACGAGGGAGAAACGAGCATCGAAAGTTTGGAACGAAAACCCATCAGTTCAAGTACCATTTCAACTAATTTGAAAAGTATGAGGATACGTCTGCAATTGTGTTTGGGAAATAACCTGATCGGTCCCTCGATTTCCAATATGAACAACTTAGTCCCCAACATTTTAAGTTTTGAATATTTGGCCCGAAAATCGTATTTTTCATGGTTATGTTTATTTCTCTTGCTGTGCGATAAGTATTTTAGGGATCTGATAATTTTATAAATTGGAAGTAATTCATAAGATGCTTGAGTATTAAATTAAGAATTTCGAATCATCATTTCTAATTTTAGAAATTGGTTCCAAGTTGGTTTTTAATTATATAAATATTATGCGAAGACTTTTTATGGATTTTATAATTTTACTTGAACTAGGATTATGTATTAATGTTATAAAATTATGGAGAAGAATTATTAGTGTTTGTGACTTGGTTCAACAAATTATATATGCTAAATTGTAATAGGAAAAAGAGGTTATTTAATGGGTGATTTATGGTTATTAATTTTGTGTAATGAGTTGAAGTACCTAAGGTCAGAATTTGGAAGTTTAAGTAGAAAATATATTTTGAGAAGCTTATGAGGATTTTATTATATTTATTTTAAGAGTTATTGAATTGTTTGAAATGATTTAAGTCTTGATTAAATGGTTGAAATTTCTAGTTTTGAGGAGTTGATTGAAAAGAGGTTAGGGCCATTTTTTTAAGGATTTTGGGACTCAGTAAAAAGGAGGGAAATTTTCCCAATACGTAAAGGGACTAAACTTGAGGATTACCGACTAAGGGAAGATAATTTTGGTTGATAGGATTAATGAAGCGATCGGATTAAGGATCTCACATCAAGGGAAGTAATGATCGTCATTTGAGAGGTGAGTGGTCTAAGGGGGTAAATTCTACGCCTTACGTGTTTTCAAGTAATTGCTTTATGAGTTTTTAAAGTATGTGTGTTTACGTGAATTGTGTGCCAGTGATTGATTTATTTCGTGATTGATAAAGCATGTTCTGTTTATGATATTATCTGAGATGATTATTTGAGCTTTCAATTATTTACTTGAAGCTTTTATATTTATGTTTACTTAATGAAGGTTGCTTGATCTCAAAAGATCAATGTTATGAGGTATTTCACTCCTAATTAAATTAGGTGAAAAGATTTAAAGGTAGTTCACTAACGCCAGTCCCCCGCCCCAGTGAAAGTTTAAAGGAAGAGCAAGTTTGCTCTTAAAGAACATGTGGATGAATCACTTAGACATCACATGAAGTTTAAAGGAAGAGTATGATATACTCTTAAGGTTTATGGGGTTGAATCTGTTAATCCCATAAAAATGTTTAAGGAAAGGCCTATGTTGACCCTCATATGTATGAGTTGGGCGGTTGGACTAGTTAGTGAGGGGATCCCAGTGTCGGTCAAAGGTTTAAGATTTTTTAGGGTGGCGAGTAACAACAACTGCCACGTTTTTAAGGGTTATAGTTTAAAGGATGGAAGTATAAATAACTTCCACGGGTTTTTGAGGTGAACACTTAAGGGAATACCCGTAAGTGCTTCAAGTTTAAGTAATGGCGTAGACTGACCCCAACCCACTCACCAGGTCGTAGAGGAGGAGATAGGGAGCATTCAATCGAGGAGCATCCAGTGAGAGAGCAGACTACCCGAGGAGGACCACGTGAGCACTTCTGAAGATGTCTGACCACGGATCGGAGTAAGCAGCATTTGTAATCTTTAGTTATTTGCTTTATGATTATGAGTAATGACTGGAGATTTGAAAGGATAAGACTTTATGGATTGAGGTTTGCCCAAATGTTAGGGCTTTGCTTTTAAATTATAAGGTGTATTTTCAGTATTGGTATTTCGAGCACATTATTGTTTCTTTCTTTCAAAAATTTAAATATTCTCCGGAGCAAAACTGTTATTTAAGTGTTTTGAGAGATCGGGATGTGACACTGGGCCTTAGCACGACTTATCCTTTCCTTGCGAGTTATCTTCCTTCCTTTTTTGGGCGAGATTCCCTCCTTGGTTTCCTGCTTCACATCATCTCAAGAACCAACATTAATAGTGGGGTTTGCCTTGCAAGGCTTCCCTCCACTTGCATTCATATCACCTGGTTCAACTTCCTTCACTTCCTCACTCGTAGGCTTATGATCAATTCCAAGCGTAATTCTCTCCTCACCATCCTTCAAGATCAAAGTTCCCTCATTTACATCAATTAATGCCTTGGTTTTGGCTAGGAAAGGGCGTCCTAGTATGAGTGGCATCTTAGAATCCTCATTTATATCCAGGATCACAAAATCCGTCAGATAACAGAATTTCCGCACTCGTACTAGCACGTCCTCCACTATGCCGCTAGGACTAATGACAGAGCGATCGACCAATGTGACACTAAGCCTAGTAGCCTTTAGTTCATCTATGCCTAGCTTCTTAAAAAGCTTATATGACATCACATTTATGCTCGCCCCTAAGTTCTCCAAGGAATTTCCTATGTGATGAGAACCGATGCAAAAAGGTGTAGTGAAACTACCTGGATCGGATTGCTTCTTGGGCAACCTATTGAGGATGAAGGATGAGCACTCCTCGCCTAGGGTGACATTGGCGAGGTCTTCAAACTTTGACTTCTTAGAGAGACAACCCTTGAGGGCTTGTTTGCTTGATGGATTTGGTGAGGGTTTTGGATCCATCATGGACTTTGTCCAAAATCCATCGTTTGCTTCATGCATTTAGGGGAAACAAATCTGTGGGTCCCACGAACTTTAAGGAACCAAATCCGTGGACCCCACAGACTTGAAAGTTCCACCTATTTAGGTGGGAATTGATTATGGACTTTGAAGTCCATCATTTTTTACCAACATACCCTTCATATTTGCTTTCTCTTCTTATATCATTGAGGGCAATAAAGGTAAATTACACTTCATACATACAAATTTAATTAAAAAAATCCATCATGAAATCCATCAAACAAACAATGGTGTTTATCAAATCCATAATGAACGTAAAACCCTCATATATCCATGGTTTTTCAAAATCCAAGTTATACCAAAACCTTCATTTTTCAAATCCACGACGCAAACGAGCCCTGAGGTATCTTGAATACCTTGGCATGTGTGCCATGGCCATCGCTTCGAGGAAGGGAGTTGAGGTGGAGCTTTCAAAGCATCTCCATGAAACCTCCACATTTCACTTCCAATCTTTCCTTGTGCACTCTCGTGGGAAAAGGTAGGGGTGGCGTGTACTCAGCCACAGGTGGTGGTGTCGACAATGCCTTCCTTGCCACTCCTCTCTTTTCCCCCGAGACTTTCTCTTCTTCACCTTCGAGTAGAGAGGGTAAGGCTCCCTTTGGTCTCTCGGTGAGGATCCCGACAAGATTGTTAATTTGAACTTCCAAGCTTTGGAGACTCGCTTGATGGCTTCGAAGTCCCGCCTCAACAGAGGTAAACTTGGATGTTGCCACATCCATGAATTGCTCAATCTTCTAAAAATTTTGAGAGCTTGTACTCACAAAGGCGTTCACAAGGTCTTCAAGTTTGGAGAACTTGTCGACTTGTTGTTGTTGGAAACCTTGACCGTCTTGTGCTTTGTAGTATGGTTGTTTGAAGTTCCAGTTTTGGAATTGAGTCCTCTATTGGATGAATGTTGGCCGAGTTTGATAGTTTCCCGTTGGACCTTGCAAACCAGGAGATTTTGGATTTGTAGGGGAAGATCAAGCGAAGTTTGGATGATTGCGCCACCCGAGGTTGTAGGTGTTGTTATAAGGGTTGTTCCCTCTAGCATTGGCTATGAAGCTCACTTGCTCCTCGGAGGTACTCGACTCCTTCATCGCTTGGCAATTCACAATTTTGTGATTGGTGCTCGAACACCATTCAAAAGACATCACCGCTCTCTTCCCTTGCTTCTTGTCCTCAAGGATCACCTTGATCAACTTGTCAAGATTTGCTTCAAGTGGAGCACTTGCTCCCACACTTTGCACTCCTGGATCGGTGCTTCTCTTCCCACTTCTTGTCAAGTCCCAATCATATCCCTTAAGAGCCATATCTTCAAGAAACTCGGTCACTTGAGGAGGGGTCATGTTCATAAACCTCCCTTGGCAAAGAGAGTCAATGAGGATCTTGTCATCTTGAATGAGTCCTCTATAGAAAGTTTCTATCCGAAATTTCTCCTCGAATCCATAGTGAAGGCATTCGAGGAAGTAGTCTGAGAATCTTTCGCATGAATCCTTCAATGTCTCATCCTCCTCTTGCTCAAAGTGAGTGATCTTCTTCCTCCACTCAGCCGACTTGGAAGGAGGACGATATCAGGTCATGAACTTGTTGAGGAGATTGTCCCAGGTTATGGATAGAGCCGGTTGGTTGTTGAGCCATCAGAGTGCCTTCCTCACCAAGGAATAGGGGAAGAGCTTCAATCGCAATGCCTCCTCGGGGATGCCATTTATTTTCAAGCTTCCCGCTAGCTTAAGAAAACTTTGGACATGCTCTCGTGGTGATTCATGGGATAGCCTGTGGAAGTAAGCATTTTGTTGAATCATGTCCCGAAATAGGGCTTGATCTCAAAGTTGTTGGCGGCCATGGGTGGATGTAAGATGGGAGATTGGATATCCTCCGCCCGTGGAGCCATGTAATAGTCCATAGTCCTTGGCTTCCGCTTCTCCATTTGGGTTTGGAAGCGGATTAGCCCCTCGGTGTTGATTTGCCGCCATCTCAACTACAACTCCTTCTTCAATTCCGGGTTCAACTTGTTTTCCCCCTTTTTTCATTTCTCCTTCTTGCCTCCGCTTGCTCCCTCTCTCGAGCTGGAAGTTAGAGGGTCCGGTTGATGTCCTCGTCCAGTGGTGTTAAAGGCACCAGATTGCTTCGGGTCATGCATCTCCCTACACACACTCAAAGAAAACAACACGTCTAGCACAAGAAAATACTTCACAACTTAACAAAAACAAAAATTAAAAGCTAGATTAGCAACAAACAAACTTTTCACGATAACAGACCAAAGTCCCCGGCAAAAGCGCCAAAAACTTGACTCGATCTGACTATCACAATAAAATCCCACCTAAGGTCCCATTATAAACCTTAGATGGGTGCAATATAGGGCAAGTATGTTTAAATATTGACCCGGGCCGGTCCATTACCGCTACTTTGACTGTTTGATACATTATCTAGCGGATTGGTTTTGGTGCAAACAAAGGTCTAAAACTAAATTTCTTTGTAAAGGTAAAATGGATTTGCCTCTAGTTGAGAAAGCTTTACCCGGGTGTTGCTCCCCCTAGCTAACAATTATGATATGGAGAATCGAACGATCGTGTGTGGTTAGGGGGCCATAAACCGCAGGGAAGTCTAACAAGCAGCCGAAGCTACCCTCTTAGCCTCTAGGTTGAGGAATGGGATACGATCCAAGCAACTAATGTGACCCTCTCAACCTATCAACTAAGGAATGGTTAGACTTCACCCTCGAATTGGAGTTCAGGCGGCTACCCAAAACCAAACGCTAAGTGCTAATGAGAAATAAGAGGTTTGCCCTTTAACTAACCTAGAATAGGAGGCATAGATTTCCCAAGGAAACCTATCTCTAGTAGAGCCTCTTAAGTTAAGGAGGGTTCTATATAAACTAGCTTAGGAGGCATTGAATGCCCAAGGAAACCCATCTCGAGATGAGCCTCTTAGGTTAAGGAGGGTTCTCATTAAACTAGTTTAGGAGGTATTGAATGGCCAAGGAAACCGAACCTCTTGGGTAAAGGAGGTTTCCTCTCTAAACTAGCCTAGGAGGCATGAAATGCCCAAGAACCCCATCTCAATATTGAGGCGTTTAACCTAAGGAGGTTTCCGCTCTAAACTAGCCTAGGAGGCATGAAATGCCCAAGACAACACAATCATTTCTGAATAATAACTCCACATTAACCTTAAAACACAATCACACACAAATCATTCAATTCATACAAGCATTCACATAATTGTAGCTAGAGTTTACAAATACCCAAGTGAAAGAAGGGACTACTCCATGCTAGGAGAATGGAAATCACAAGAGAGGGAAAGGGTAACCACCAAGAAGATGCAATCCTTGCTCCTTGTGCCGAAGAAATCCTCCTTTGGGGAAGAAATTCCCAAAACCTTACTTGGAGAAGAAACCCTAGCTTTTCCTCTTCTTTGGTTCTTCAATTTCTCACTCTAAGATCTGAAGAAGGAGATGTTTCTCACTATAGGTCTCTCTCCCTTTATCCTTCCTTTTAAGTGGGAGATCGCGCCCAGTTCACGACATGAGTTCACGGTCGTGAACATTAAAAAGTGTCCATGAACTCAGTGCTGCGACCAAAACACAATCATTTCTGAATAATAACTCCACATTAACCTTAAAACACAATCACACACAAATCATTCAATTCATACAAGCATTCACATAATTGTAGCTAGAGTTTACAAATACCCAAGTGAAAGAAGGGACTACTCCATGCTAGGAGAATGGAAATCACAAGAGAGGGAAAGGGTAACCACCAAGAAGATGCAATCCTTGCTCCTTGTGCTGAAGAAATCCTCCTTTGGGGAAGAAATTCCCAAAACCTTACTTGGAGAAGAAACCCTAGCTTTTCCTCTTCTTTGGTTCGTCAATTTCTCACTCTAAGATCTGAAGAAGGAGATGTTTCTCACTATAGGTCTCTCTCCCTTTCTCCTTCCTTTTAAGTGGGAGATCGCGCCCAGTTCACGACATGAGTTCACGGCCGTGAACATTAAAAAGTGTCCATGAACTCAGTGCTGCGACCAAAACACACCACTTCATTTGCTAGTGTTCATGGTTGAGTGGCCTCTATCCACGGACTTAGCGACCGTGAACTGCCTGGGCGTCAATAACTTGAAACCCCCTCTGTTTGCTCCTCGCTTCATGCGTCATGGCTCTAGTTCACGCTCATGTAGGAACGTGAACTCCAACGTTTGGCCGTGAACAGCTCCTGTCTCGAACTCTTTGCCCAGTCTTTGCTCCTTTTCTTCCAACTTTCGACTCCGGGTTTGGTTTTACCTGTTAGGATATGAAACACACTAAAACACAAGAAACCTCGCGTAAAACCAACCCTTTTGGAGTTCAATTGCAACAAACGTCAAAGAGAATCGAGAATAAAAAGTGTGCAATTACGCCGGAATCAACAGCATATCTTACTCATCATAATAGGTTGTCTGACGTGTAAACAACTCATTCATGCATTAATGTCATTCATGCCATAGTTAGTAATTACTCCGTTCAATACAAGTATGTGTACCCGTACGTATTTTATTAATTTAGAACTTCTGTATTCGTATTATTGTTAAGCCATTTTATTTTTTTCGTTCATTTGATGGCTCCCGTACTAATCACATATAAAACCCGTATAACTCGTTTAATATTCGTATTTAAGGAACGAAATTGTTAACTTTACTACAATTTATATATTTATTTATTTTTAAAATAATTAATTTTATATATTTGTAACTAGTAACGTTCTATTAAACGTAAAATTAGCTTAGTGACGAAGAAGAATACCCGTACGTATTTTATACGCAACTTTCCCGTACCGTATTTTACTAACTATGATTCATGCATCAATTCTCATATCCAAGAGATTCAAAAACGATACCACAAGTGCTACTACGATCATACAAATGGAGAAGTTGTTTTGCTTGGAGTTCGAAATTTAAAAATTGGACAGTGGAATAGGTTCCAAGCACAAACATATAAGCCAAGCATTCAACAGAATAAACACTCCCAAACTTAAGTTCGACATTGCCCTCAATGGAGCAAAGAGAGATAAGGGGAACGATGTTACCGGTGTAGTATGAATGTCGGTTGGACTGGAGATGGGACTAGTCATTATGAAAAGACTGGAAGGTGGACCAGTCTCTAAGAAAACGAATTAGGACAAAACAACCACTAACACTGGGTGATAGTTAGGATAACAATCATAAAGCCAAAGGTCACAAAACGAAAGGAAAAAGGAAAAGAAAACACCAAAATATCGAGTCTCAAACTCCAAAAACAAAACACAAAGAAAAATTCCACTACGGGAAAAATGGCCTCTTGCAACTCCCCCAAATGTGTTGCATTATGTCTTAAAAGGGTTGCGAAATCTTATCGCAACACTTTTGGTAGGGTTGCATATAGTGGGGGTTGCAAAAGGATTAGACAACTGTTTTTTCATTTTTCGCAACCCAAATATAAAGGGTTGCGTATCCTTACCTCTTACGCAACACCACTTTAGGCAACACATTTCACAACTTTTGCACCCTTTTTTGTAAAATGGGCAACTAAGTTTTTTAACTTTTGGCAACAATAAAATTTGTATATGTGACGGGCTAAGTCGTCACGAATAACTAACTCAATTGTGACAACATTGTTCGTAACGGAATAAAAACTTGCGTGACAATATTATCGTCAATAAAAATTCTTTTTGTGACAAGGTAGTCCATTCACGAAAACTACCATTGTGACATGTCCATTTGTCACGAATAGTTACATGTGTGACCATAATTATGTCACAAAGACATATTTTGAAATTCAAGGTAAGATTTAGGGGTCGAGTTGGTTGTCACTAAAGTAACTATTTTTGTCGAAGTTTACTGTCACGAATGGCCCCCATGTGTGACGAATTTCGATCGTCACTGCAATTCAGTATCGGTGATGAATAGATTTGTCACGAATGATTTTCTTTTGTGGCAATCATTGTATTAGAAAATCATATTTCTTTAAAAAATGGTCACTAAATAGTGAAACCGAATTCACCAGATAATACAAAAAAAAAAAAAAAATTACAACTCCAATTTGGCTAAGGAAAACTCTGAATAATATTCCAAACAATCAAAAATATACATGGGTTACGAACGAGATTTTAAATCATCAAGTTCTTGGACTTCGTCATGCTTTGCTTGGAAGTCAACTAACTTTTTGTTCCCATTCTCAGAAGACTGTGAGCGAGTAGGAGTCTAGCTCTATATTCCTTCTTCTTGTATAAGTGACACAACCGGTCTCATTACTGTCAAAACAGAAAACAAAGGGTATGTATCGAATCAGGCAAGAGAGAGGTGCCAGTTAGCTGTCTTTTATTGTATTGTTGTAGGAAAAATAAATATACAAAAAACATAACCTGTTGACGAGGTGCTCTCGGTGAAGTCTGGCGAGCGGCTGGAAGAGAAGAATATTGAAGCCTCCGGAAATTGGTGAAGTGTTGGTTTCTAATCTTCGTGCGAACCCAGTAGTGATAAAAAAGAATTAATAGGAAGGATAGAGGGCTTTCCTTTCTAATATCACAGTAGATATTCTTATATATAAAGTTGAAGGCAAGTTACTGTTGCCTAAACTACTACATTTTCATACTCTAAATTTAATTAAATTACAACTTAGTCACTATAATGTATATTTTACATTTTGATACCTCAAATTTAATTTTAGTTTAATTTTAATGTAAAATCATTGAACAATTATGTTTTGATATCTAAATTTTATATATAAAATCATTGAACATACGACGAACTCACACCATCCATTTCAAATAGGATTTGTCCCGTGGACACATGAGCAATCCAACCCGTACGATTTCCTTTTACTCTTCCCATTCTTACTTCTGTAGGTTTCCCTGTAATAGGGAGATCCGCGAGAACCCTTGCCAATATCTTACCATTTCTTCTGAATTGTCTGCTGAAGGAACGAAGTCACTCGGACAAAGGTTTATCATATGTTCAACCGAGGGGAGAAGGGGAGTTGAAGGCAAGTTACCGTTGCCTCAACTATTACATTTTGATACCCCAAATTTTATTAAATTACAACTTAGTCACTAGAATAGAATGTACATTTTACATTTTGATACCCAAAATTTAATTTTAATGTAAAATTATTGAACAATTATGTTTTTGTATCTAAATTTTATAAGATTTTCGTACGTACATTTTTTTTTCCGTTGAATCAGTTTCCTTTACTATTAAGTAAATCGAATTACAATTTGCAATTCGCAAAACCAAAACAACGAAAGGGCTGCCATTGCGGCCTCCCTGCAAAGAGAACAGAAAAGAAAAGATGCAAATCAATCAAAACTCCCTCCCACATGTATAATCTTCAACTACAGAAAACTATAAAACATGCAGCAAATGGAGATCCCTTCTCATTTTTTATTTTTACACATATTGGTCCAATGTTTAGATTTCACTTAAATACATGAATCCAATCGACCAATCCTTTTGAACAAATCCATGAATCCAATCCACCATAACATAAAAGTATAAATTTAGTGTGTACCATACAAGATGTTGTATCACTCAACTGTAGGAGAAGATTCGACCATTTTATATTTGCTCATTACGCGAAACATTAAAAAATAAAATAAAAGTGAGACGATTCTAAAATATTGCAAGAGCAAATTTATAAACTCATTTAGTACATTTACGGGGTACTACTTCTACTAACTATATGTAACAAAATATGCGACATCTATATAAGCAAGTGTCAATAAATTGCTACGGTGAAAATGATTGACTGTTGCATTGACGGCCAACTAAAAGAATTGGTCAAAACCTTTCCATCATCTACTTCCCCTTCGTTTCATTTTTCACTCGCCTTCCATAACCATTTCTTTATTTCTTTCTTTGCCTTCTTCGTCTAACCCTAATTAGTATACTATTTTTTGTATTCTAATCACAAATATGAACGGGTCCATACACGACAGACCAACAATCTAGATAATTAATAATTGAACCATGAACTACTAACATTTTCAGCTCAATTTTGAGTCCAATTAAAAACAAATATATATGGCTATAACTTATTAGAAAGTCGTCATTTTTCACTATAGGATTTGAAGGCATGAAATTTTTAGCGAGTTCCAGTTTATATTCCTGTTGCTTCTCTCTAGAGTTTTTCTTTTTCACTCGGGCTAGAACTTTTAACAATTATACATGAAATTTTCAACAATTATACATATCAAATATATATTTTCTTCTATTTTCTATAAAAAAGTAAATAATTATCATCTTAAATACATTACCATAAAAGGAATTAAGCCTCAACTATGCAAATTGCAGTTGGGTACCTAAATTTAACATATCTTAAGATTTATAATCTAAATTTTTTTTTGACATATAAGTCCTCAAAATATTTATGAAATATTACATTTTAGTAACTAATTTTTTTAGTTTTACATCTTAGTACCAGAACTTTTGAAGTTCTATAAATAGATATAATATTTGTATGTGTAATTAAAACATCCTCGAATAGATAGGTATCCATACTCATCATACACATCTTTAGATTATGAAAGTAAATATCCATATCCTACCAAAACCCATCTACAAACTTCCAAACTTATATATACGTCACACATACCCTACACATAATCAATGAGTCTACTTGGGTTTAGGTAAATATCATTTATTAGCAAAATTTTCAAAATTTTTAAATTGGATGTTGACCGCCATATATCTATTCTCTGTGAATATCATATTGTCAAGTCAATATTATTACTAAGAAAACTGCTAACAAAAAATTAATTTAGGCTAATAATACTAACAAAACACCCATAACGACCCACATAATACATGCACATAGCCCATCTCCGCCCCGCGACAAGGCGCGACATCACCACCTAGTGATCTTTAAAGGAAAAAAGTTTAAGGGTTAATTAGATAATTATGGTATGGAGAGAAAAGAAGATGGAAGGAAATCTTTTCTGTTAGTATAATTATCTTTCCTCGTTTTATAGTGTGCATATCACGATAGATTTTTGGGTATTGAGTATTAATCTTTAGATTGCTACTGCAATGTGTAATTGATTTTATATTGCTGTCGCTATCTTTCTTTATGTTTAAGTTTCATATACTTTTTTTAGGGTAAATAGTTTCATTTATTATTTGATAGAATGTGTTGGTGAACTTTAGCATCAAGTAATTTGAATGATTTACCTTTACCGGTCAAGAACTGCCTTGGCGGTGAGAAATTTATCGTCTAGCCAAAGGTGTAAAACAAAGATGTGAAAGGCACTAAGATATTTAGAGAAGTTTTTTCGAGCTACTATTTAGTTGAACCATTCAGTCCATAAAGCTTGTTGTAAATTTATGACATACTAATTGACTTTTCCTGTAAGAAAATTCTCACCGAAACTTGTTTTCGCATGAACTTTTTCTCGAGAAGAATATATGTGCTATTTAGTAAAACGTAGGTGAAACAGTGACGATCAGTTGCACAAATTACTTTTTTTTATTTATAAAGTTTCTCGAATCATTGAAGTATATGTTCCCTTTAATCAAATTATTTACTTGCAAAGATCAATAAAAGACTTGCCATAGATAAAAAGTCCTCAGATAAAATTACCCCTCATTATATTTGCAACTAATTTGCTATTATGTTGCATAAAGTATATGAATAAGCAATACCACAACAAATGTGTTGCATATAATAGAGAATTTGCAACAGATAACTAAGTTGGGTTGCATATACTACCTAATACGCAACTCCAAAAAAGAGAGTTGCCAATACATACCTAACGTAACACTTTCGATTAGTGTTGCAATGTGGGTGTTGCAAGAGGTCTATTTTCCCGTAGTGGTCCATGCTCAAGCCGAAGCTCAGATCCCGTCAAAGTGATGTGAATGTTATCCACGTTCATTACATCATCGCCTGAGAATGATGGAGCCATGGCACCTAAAGGAGAGTCCTCCCACTGGGTGCGCAGGGTGGAAGTGTCAATCCTGACGTGCTATACGAGTAAGCCATGGGTCTCCATGTTCCATAGATGGGCTGCCTGCTCTCGGTCAAGCCGGACTGAGAACTCAGCTTGCTTGGCGAAGTACCACTCCTCGAACTAATCCTGTCGTGCCTTGTAGTACTCCTCGAACTAGATCTGAATATCAAGGATATGCTGGTTCTAGAGAACCAGCCACTGGAATGGGTCGGTGAAGTAGTCTATAGGTAGACATAAGGACCTGCTTAAGACTCACCCATCTCAAATCTACAACGTGGTGGAGAGAGGATAGGAGGAAGCTCTTGCTAGGGTCAAAAGCATCCTCAGCCTCCTCCTCGTAATCCTCATCCTCAGCCTTGGGTTGAAGAGAGATACCATAACCCAATCATAGCCATCAACATCCACTAGGAGGCCCAAGTTGTGGACAGTGGCCTCCATAAGATTGAACATACCAGCAACACCGGAGATGTTGAGACCGTGGATATCCACACCCATTGGCGGACCAAGATGATGATCAGAGCGCCACAATGAAGGTTTCATGGCTGACGCACACACATGGCGAGGCTCTTTGCCAAGGCGGAGCAGGTGAGGAGAGGCGAAGGATCTTGCGCCACTGGCGGTTGGCGATCGTGTGGTAGATGTATGTGTCAGGTCAGAACACACTTTCTTGAGGGCCGACGCGTGGAAGTGCCAATGCTCGCAGATAGTGCCCTCACGCACCTTGGCGATTTATGCATCATATTTGGCGATGTGGCAGCACAGACCCTATTGAAAAGCAAGTTGGGTAGCCATAGTTCTGCAAAAACATATAAGATATTGATGGAACCACATAAACCAGGTTAGCAAAACAGAAGTGTAGACAGCCCATTTCGTACGAGCAACACGTCATCGATTACGATTTGTTTGAGAATATTATTACCGTGAATTTAAGTGATTTGAATATTAAGTCTATAAGATTAAGCAATAGCAAATCTAAATGTGCCAATTTGGTCATAATTTGAGTCACAATGTCTATATGTGGGCAATTAAACGAAGTTAGCAATAGCTAACTTTAACTACCGAAGTATGTATGTTGAATTTAAACGCTAAGTTCTTGAGAATTAGGGCTTCAACTTTGGGAGAAACATTAAAATTAAAAGAATAATCATTTTATTAAAATAAATTATGATTACATCAGACATAAATCAGAATCACATGATAATACAAGTGCAATTACCATAAACTTAAATTACAATTACAATTACAATTTACATTACGACTGATTACAATAGTAGTCACAAGAGTGTAAAAGAAGAAATTGGGTGTAAGTCAAAACCCAACCAAAATGTCAACAGTCCACCATAGTCACCGGCCAGTCAACTCAGACCCAAGCCAAGGTCCATACCACACGGGCAAACATGGTACAACAGGCGAGAATTCAGACTTCCTTTCTTCTTCTGCTAGCAATCTTCATTCCCCTCTAAACAGGCGATCAAAAATGCATTCTTCCTCCCATTTCTTCTTTGAGGCATTTTAGTGTGCTTTATAGTATTGGTACTATAAAACATTTACAGCCATTAGATCATGTCCAAACTATATCAACCATTAGATTTCATTTAAATTATTATTTTATTATTTTATTTGTGGGTTGTAACCGGTACAACCGGTTGTCTGAAACCAATTACAATCCTTCTTCCTTCGATCCTCTTTCTCACCTCTTTCTCACCGGCGAAACCCTTCCTTCCTTCCTTCGATCCTCTCCACGCAGCTAGCGAGCAGTGAAGACGGCGACAGTGAAGACGGCGAGCATTGGGTGACGACGAGTGAAGACGGCGAGCAGTGGGTGACGACGAGTAGAAGAAGCTTGTCGATTGCAGCGATTCGGATTCCAGATTCCGACGACGACAGTGAAGGCGGCGAGCCGGATTCCGACGACCACAGTGAAGACGGCGAGCAAGGGACGACGAGAGCGAGCATCTCTTCGTCGATTGCAAACGAAGACCCTCTTCCCATCGATAGCAAACGACGACTCTGCACAGAACCCCCTCTTCCCATCGATAGCAAACGAAGACCCTGCACAGCCCTCTTCCCATCGATAGCAAACGAAGACCGCTGGCCTACCTCCTCCACCGCAACTTTTTTCGGTTAGTACTATCTTCTTTGTGTTTAGCTTGATAATTAGCTGCAATGGCGGTTCCTGTTGTTCCTTCACTTGTTTTGAAGGAGAATTTGCAGCATTTACCTTCATTTCACTTTGTTTTTGCTGTTGAGGTTGTGCTTGATTTGTCTCCGTTTCAGCAACATCCTTAGAAGGTTGTTGTTGTTGTTGTTCCTCAATCTTCTTCTGTTGAGGAGGAGCATTGGGTTTTTCTGTTGTTAGGGTAGAAGAATTCGAGTCTGAAGAATTCACAGCAGTTGTGGTTGTTGTTGTTGTGGTTGCGGTTGTGGTTGTTGATGTAGTTCTTCCATCTTCTTCGTGGGAGGATTGATATGATATGATATGGTAGATAGAAAGGATGCATCGTTAAACTTTAGTTACTTATAAGACCTATGAATCATCCATGAATGATGAGACATTAAGGTCAAACTTAGTTAGGATATTTAGAGCATGGTTGTGGCTGATCGATATGATGGAGTAGTCTTTGTTGGAATGATGTCGCTGCAAATTATGCATGCTTTGGAATATTCAATCCCTTCAACTCTTCTTGAACCCGGGTCATCTGATGCAGCTGTAGAAGTTATCCAATCTTCTTGATGATGCTTCCTTTGGTGAGGAAGTTTTGGATGGATGTTGTTGTTGTAGTTCTTCCATCTTCTTCGTGGGAGGATTCGAATCAGACGAATTCACAACATTCATTGTTTTTGTGGTTAATGATTCTCCTTTTTGTGGGGAAGCTTTGGTGGTAATGGTGGTGGAGGAAGTCCGTTGTTCTTCATTCTTCTAGGGGGCATTTGTATCGACCGAATTTGTTGCATTCGTTGTTGGGATGTTCTAGATTTACACATTTCGGTAGGGGGATTGAAATTCCATGCTCGTTTTAGGTTTATGAGTTTAATTGGTCATGTCCTTTGACCAGGTTGATGTCCTTGTACTATCTTCTTTGTGTTTAGCTTGATAATTAGCTATATATTGACTGATTTAGTGTCAAAGCAAACTATCAATTCACATATGGGACCTGCTTGTTGATGTCCTGGTATTGGTTTAATTGTGTACCTCACAGATGTAGGTCGATGTTGATCGAAATCCTTCTGAAAGCCATTGTAGTTCATCTTGTAGACCATCTTATTGTTTACACAATTACGAGTGAGTTGGTTGATTCTAAACTTGTCATGATAAGTAGCATGTTCTACTTCTGCTGGTCTATTTTCCTTGGTGTGGCTGTGTCTCCTGTGGGAAGGAACATGTTGTCAATTCCAAAAAGCTTCTTTTCATATGGGCAGAGAGGTCTTTGTCAAAGCAACGTGGTGTAATGTGGTTGTTGGTTGCTCCTCCATTAACCATACAGCCATAGATTTCCTGCTACTAAAGTTCATTGTGAGTTGATTTACACATTGAAGCTTGAAGGGAGGGTTGTGCATGGTTGTGGTTGCCTTGCTGGGTAGTGAACAATTTAATCATGTACCAAAGAGGAAAATGCTTGTCACCAAGAAAACTCACACTTGGTGAAAGAGCCTAGGAAATAGCATGCATGAACCAAGCAAAGATCATGTGTTCTTTATGTGGTTTTCCACCATAGCTAAATGCTATCTCATGAAAATGATATCATAAATTAGTTTTGGAAACTTTTTTTGTTTACTTTTTCATAAATGGAAACTCTATTTCACTTGGAAAACCGGTGTGAGTTGCACGTGTCGAGAGAGCTATTGCCTTGTTGAGTTACATAATCGTCATTCCAAGCATGCGATTCATCTTGTCTTTGTGAGCGCTGGGAGAGGAGTCCTAATCATGTTCCCATTGTGGTTAAGCTAGCAACTATTTGTAGTATGGTTGTTGTGTGGATGTATCCTAGAAAAGGGTAATCGAAGCATTTGTCTTCTGTGATTCTTTGCATGAGCTTTGCATTAGTCTTATGTGATTCTTTGCATTCATTTGAGCTTTTTATTTGCGTTTGAATGCTGGCTCCGTCTACGTTTATGTGATTAGTACTTCAGTTTACTATTAGAGCAAGATTGTGATGCAATTGATAGGTTATGCCGTGATTCTTTTTAAAATTTGTAACTTCCAGGGGGTTTCACGGGTTATATCCCGCCCGGGACAAAAAGCCGTGAGATGAGCCGTTAGATTTTTTTGAAAAAGGGGGAGTTCCAGGGGGTTTCACGGGTTGGTCTCGCCAGTATCACGGCCGTGAGATGAGCCGTGTTTGTGCAATTGAAATGCTGAACTTCTCACGGCTCATCTGTTAATCTCACGGGCGTGAGATGAGCCGTGTTTGTGCAATTGAAATGCTGAACTTCTCACGGCTCATCTGTTAATCTCACGGGCGTGAGATGGTCACAGCTGGTTTTGGCGTGATTCACCTAGTGAACCTTGCATTCCAGTATTATTGTTCCCGTGAGATGGTCACAGCTGGTTTTGGCGTGATTCACCTAGTGAACCTTGCATTCCAGTATTATTGTTCCCAACCATGCGTGATCTCAAAAAAAGTTGCTCCAATATGACCTAGCTAGCGATTGTGCTCCTTCCTTTATGCATGCCAGTATTAGCTTTTTGATTGGAGAGACTTGATTTGTGTTTTATGGAGGCAAATCGAATAGGAAAGTTCATACTCAAAGTTTGATTCTTTTCAGTTTGGCTTGAGACAAGTTGGATTGTTGGGACTAGGATTGGTAGGTACTGGTGTGGTATTTCAAATGCTGAAAAATGCAGATGCATAATTTCATAGGTGGATCGAGCTTTGGGAGGTTAGAATAGTAGCTTTGATGTACTGATAAGTGACTCCTCTAGTAGCTTTGAAGTACTGAAAAATCAGGGTGTTTTTAGTTTCACGGCTTAGTTTAACGACCGTGATTTTTGAAACCAAAGCCGTGAGATTGTCTGGGATATGAAAACTACTCTTTGCTTCTCACGGGTCATGTCACGGCCGTGAGAATTTGCATTTTGGGTGAAATTTAATGGAAGCTGGGTGTTTTGGGTGAAATTTATATATGCCAATGGCGGATTTCATGGTTAATTAGTGTACTCAGGTGTTGATGTAGGGGGTTTTCATTTCTTCTGGTAGTTAGAACTTGATATCGAGGCAAGTGTGCTTGTGAGCTCTGGTATAGTCTTGTATTTGTTCAATATTGATTAAAGCCATATATTGAAAACCAGGATTGAACTCATTACCTGGAGAATGTGTTTACCGAATGATTAAATGATCCTTTTCTTGAATGAAACTTTGTCATAACCACGTTTTCTCGAATGTGTTTAAGTGTGAAAACTGAAAGTTGCTTCTTTAGATCAGTGGTGGACGACTCTGGCTTTGTGTATTTTGTTAGTACTCTTCGGCATGCTTATAATTCGTGTTTCAAGGCATGCTTATAATTTTTTTGTTGTTTTAATTTTGCAGTTTGCTAAAATTGTTCTATAATGAAGACGAAGAGTCATGAAATTTTTAGCACCCGCTGTTCTCCTAGGAAAGTATTCTCAGTAGTCTCAAATTTAGAGGCTTGTCAATCAGAGGCCATTAAGAGATGTGGCTTTGGTCGTATGCTTGAAGTCAAAGGAAGAATGCTCCAACGTGAGTTGTTGGAGATCCTTTTGAAGAGCTTTAATGTGGAAGAAAGCTCAATTCAGGCTTATGGGTTGAAAGTCCATATTTCGGCCAAAGATTTCGAGCGAATTATGGGCGTGCCTGAGGGAGGTACTGATATCATCTTGAATGGTGAAGAAGTGGGACGAAGATCCGAGGAATTGAATCCATTTAGAGTGTATTCGACAGTTGATTGTGCCCGACAGGCGATTTCGACAAGCTTAATGCGGAAGGCTTTGTTGGAGATGAAAGATAGCGGTGATCTATTTCTTCAAACGTTTATTTTGTACGTAATGGGGGTGCTATTAGTACCAACTAGAAGAGATGACTTTTCGTTATCTTCGGTATACGCTGTCCTCGATGTTGCCGATATTCCGAAGAAGAATTGGGCATCGTTTTGCTTCAATGAATTGGTCAAATGCATCTGCGACCATAATGCTGAGGGGAGAAAGTATATACCGGGTTGCTTGCTGTTCTTGGAGGTAAATAATTGCTAATCCCTACTTTCTACATATTTGTAATGATTAATCATCATGTTGATTATAGTAATTTTTTTTTTTGTAGTTAATATTCTTGGAGCATGCAAATGGTATTTTCGAAACTATTGATAGGAGTTTGGATTTGTTGAGCTGGGGGAGCGGAGACGTGGAGTTATTGTTAACAGAAGTGGTAAGACTGATAGTATATTTGATTCTTTTGACGAGTTGGAGCATGCTAATGGTACATTTGGTTCCCTTTTTAATTAATTTGTAGGTTTCCAGCAGTTCGGTTAAAAGATCAGCTGAGGATGCAGGTTTGAAATCACCTGCAAGAAAACGGGAAAAAAGAGATGGGAAACGGCAAAAACCCGACGGTGATGAGCTGCTTCTCTGTGAGCGTATTGACGCTCGGTTTACTACCATGGAGGGTAGAATTGACAACTTTAGGCAAGAATTTAGAGTTGCAATGGGTGATGCTGCTTCCAGAGAGAATGAGCTAATGAGTCGGGTTGTGAATATGGAGAACGAATTTCGGGCTTTTAGAGACGAAATTGGTAGTCAAGTGAAGTCCATTATAGAGGCAGTGAAAGCAACTATAGGTGATCCGTTGTCAAGGGAGCAGCCTACAGAGTTGAAAAAGAACGATCAGAAGGATGAGGCTGATAATGTGAAAGCTTCTGCAGCTGTTTTGTTGTCAACGGAGCAGCTTATCAGAGGGGAAAAGGGCAATCAGAAGGCTGAGGTTGAAAAACCAAGTGAACCCATTTCTCCTACCTCCGAATCTGTCAAGACTCAAGGGTTAGGTGTTAAGAATTGGGGAGAAGCTGAGGGGGAAATTGGAGATGACTGCGGTTCTGAATCTCCTTCTGTCAAAGTTGTGAAAAAGTCTCCTTGCAAGCAGGCGAAAGCGTCTAAAGTTGAGAAATTCATATTGTTGAGTAATGAAAGTGTTGCTGCTAATGATGGTTGTGCCAAGACTGTGAAGGTATTACACTTTATTAAGTTTTCTAATTATTTGTACTTATGGTGTGGTTACTAATGAACTTGTTTTGTTTTTATGTTTTTGAACAATAAAGGGGCGAAAGGGAGGTGGACTACGTAGTGTATCTAAATTGAAGCCTAGTTTGTATGTGGTCTCTCCATTCGAACGTGCAAATCCCAGAGCTAAGAAAGGAAAACCTTTGTACCGTGCTCCTCCCTTTGTTGTTCAGACACCATTGACTCTGGAGGCAGTAAAGATGATTCAATTTGCTTTTAGTAGTTCGCTTCCCGAAAGGTACCTCCCGAAATCATTACAAGTAAGATTGGATCATATCTGTAGGAAATTTTTGGTATTTGCCTTATTCTAATGTTGTGGTGTTTGAACTTGGTCTTGTATAACAGGGACGTATTGGTTCGTCTTGATGGCGGGGCTCTTGAGTTGTTACGTGAAGATTTGGTCGAGTTTTTGCCCAGGACCAAAATTTCAACAAGGGTGAGTTCCTTTATGTGTGTAATTTAGTAGATTAAACTTGTATTGCTGACTTTGGTATATGTGATGATGATGCATTAGATTATAGAAATGGCATGTCTGTGCAAGACACTAGAAGAACGAAGTTGCGGTCGCAGTGGTGGAGTGTCTTGGTTCTTTCCACCTTCAGTTTCGGTACAGTTGTCTGCTTTGTCTATTCTTGTCATGAAATTAATCTATTTGTTTGTTACATGTAGCTTGTGTGGGTAACTGTGTTTTATTTTTCTAGGATCGTGCGTATCATTGCAAAAACGAGGAGCAATTTATGGAAAACATGCGGTCATATAAGATACTTGAGCGATACCGTATAAGTGAGCTACTTTACTGCAGTAAGGTATGTTGTAATGTTGTTTTCTAAAAGGAAATGGCTTC